ACCGGTGCGAACGGCAGAGCTGAGGCCACTTCCCGTTAACCCGTGGGACATTGCACTGTGCGTGACGGGCACGCTCATCTCCTGCGAGAATGCAATCGTGATCGCTATCCTGTTCTACACGCCCACCTTGAGAGCCCCCATGTTCATTCTGATAGGGAGCCTCGCGTTTGCAGACCTGCTCGCAGGACTCGGCCTCATTCTCAATTTCGTCTTCATCTATATGCTGAACACGGAGTTTGTAACTCTGATCTCCGTTGGCTTGCTGATCGCCGCCTTTTCTGCATCTGTGCTCAACATCCTGGCCATCACGGTGGATCGCTACTTGTCCCTCTACAACGCTCTGACCTACCACACGGAACGCACGGTGACATTCACCTATGTCATGGTGGTTCTCATTTGGCTGGTGTGCATCATCCTGGGCCTACTGCCAGTGCTCGGCTGGAACTGCCTCAGAGACGAGGCCAGCTGCAGTATCTGCCGGCCGGTCACCAAGAACAATGCTGTGGTACTTGCTGTGACGTTCTTGCTGGTGTTTGCCCTCATGATGCAGCTTTACCTACAGATCTGTAAGATTGCCTTCCGCCATGCGCAGCAAATCGCTGTTCAGCACCAGTTCATGGCCATTTCCACCACAAAAGGTGTATCCACGCTCTCCGTCATCCTCTGCACCTTTGCTGCATGTTGGATGCCCTTCGCCATGTATTCGATTGTGGCAGACTCCAGATACCCGATGATCTACACGTATGCAACAGTGCTGCCGGCAACATGCAACTCTGTCATAAACCCAATCATATACGCTTACAGAAATCCGGACATCCAGAAATCCCTCTGGCTAGCCTGCTGTGGATGCGTGCCGTCCAACTTCTCCTTGCGGCCAAGGACATCGAGCGATGTATAGGTCGGACTCACATAATTAGTTTGTACTGTGTCAGTGTTAATGATATGATGTCCTTCCTTGGTGGGATCCCAGTCAAACATTGCTGGTTGTGTAGTAGGTGTTGCGATCCAAGATGTCAACCTGCAATGTATTATTAGATGTCTTTAATGCATAGACCTCTATGCACAAAATTTCAAGTTGTATCAGACATAAGACAGTTCAAATTGAACATGATCTGAATAATCTGGATATTCTGAGATATGTAGTACAGGCCCAGTGACACAAATCTATAGCCTATACTATATATCTAATCAATAAAATAAAAAAATAAATTATATATATATATATATATATACCGTTAACAAAATGATTACAAAACTGACCTAATTTGTGTGAAGACAGCTTTCATGTACATGCTCATGCTATACGGAGTTCTTTCAGCACCACGGACAGCAGCAGGTACAATGAGGCTATTCCCTTGCAAACCCGCCTCTAACACTTAAATCTGTGTTCACTTAAAAATGTATGAATGACAGAGAGAAAACACGGTCTCGCAAGCATCTGTCGCTTTCCAGCCAATTTTATCAAATCACTTTTTTTAAAAACTAAAATTCAGATGCAAGAAAAAATGACCTCTTTCATTTAAGCGCAATTTATTTGTCATTTGCAGTGAAATGTATTATCATAAATGTAAAAATCCCTGGGAAAATCCAATTTGTTTAGACATGCTGAATTGGTTTATTATTATCTAACGTCCCTAATGACAGTGAAATATCTTCTGCCACAAAGTTGTAAAGCAAATAATATTTTCACACATTTTTTTCTGGAATCCATTGAGCACACATTTTGGATTTAGTGCGAAACGGCAGGGTTAATGAAGGTCTGAGTGCGAAATGAGGTGTCAGCCACAACGCTTTAAATTTCACGTCAGGCAACATCTTTCAAGACAGTTTTGCAGAAGGCCAACTGAGACATCAATGCTTAAATAAGACAAATGCTTCTGGGTCTGTACAGAAAAATGATCTTGGTGATTATTAGATATAGTTGAGTTAGGGGCAGGCTAGTGTGTAAATAGATCTGCATGAAGGCTTAGTAAAAGATCAGATAACTAGGCCAAAATGGGACAGAATGTACTAAAGATTCAGCCAAAAAGACTTGAAATAGCATGTAAGATTTAAAAACACATCGCTAAATCTGTTGAAATGGATTTATATTATGCTATACAACCAACCAAAAAAAAACCCCTCAAAGGACAACACAGAGAAACACAATGCTTTTCAAAATGGCGCAAAAGAAACATCACTAATAGCTAAAGGATTAGTTGTCATAATATTTTATATGCATAGATATTTGTGGAGCTTGAAATATGACCGTAACAAAGCCTTGTATTTTTCGAGGGTGTATGAATGTCACAGCTGTTCTGATGACCCCTCATTTCCGGCAAAGTATCTTAATTTTGGCCTTACCTTTTCTCTTCTGCAATAATGAATTAAAGTGCAACGTTCATTGATAGAGCTACAATCACAATGAGGCCATCAACAGAGCTAATTTTACTTCCTGACTTGAACATGATAAAAACAGACTGAGAATAGGTTAGTGAGATCAGGGTGTTTCAACACTTTAAATCAATTGTACTGTTTTCTAGGATGTGCTTTCACATTGTAGTACAAGTATTCAAAGTTGGCCTTGAGAGCCCATCCAGGTGCCCTCTGACTAACCTCAATACTCTTAGTGACCTGTACGAAACCTGATGGACTTTTGTGGAGTTATTTCACAGTCTGGACACTGTGAAACAATTCTCCAGTCTTTTTTTGGACGATTGTGTGATATGCCTGGTTGTTTGTGGTTGTGTGTGCGAGAGTGAGAGAACCATTTGTTTATACCTTTCACTTATGTCAGGAGTGGGGTTCAGTGACCTGTCACACTGTGCCCACTTATAAAAAATATAAAAAATAACCTAACCCACATAATACACAACACTTGGCAAATATCAGTGTTTTTCAGCAAATCTCTCCACTACAATGTATTCAACGGGATGCCATAGATTCAGTTTGTTCAGGGGTCCAGCGGTTATTTTTCTTATGCAATGCTGTATGGAAATGTATATTTTTTATACACATCAGGGCATGAGTTTTATGATGTTGTTTTGGTGTGTGTGTGTGTGTGTATATATGTGTGTGTGTGTTCAGTACCTGAATTCTTATCGATGGTTTCCTAGAAAAAAGCAAAAACAGAAAAACAAAAAAACTAATGAAACTAAAAAGACAGAAAGTGCCATAATTTCAATTACTAGTGTCTTATTGATTTCATGTGTTTATCAGATCAGTAAAAACCAGGATTATGATTTGTAACATCACCTGACTATGTCGACAGTACCGTTCACCTTCAAATTTGCAGCGGCTGAAGCACAGCTTGGGGTCCAGATAGTTGATTTCTAGTGAGCTTGACTACTGAACACAGACAGGATATAGTCTGTTTAGTAGTGGTTAGTTTTAACAGATGGGTCTAAAAGTTAAAACTCAAAAATAGACCCAGAGAACCAGGTGGTGCGCACTTTCTACGCCAGGGGAATGGCTGCATTCCACCCTCTCTTGGACATTGGAGCCCACTACGGCTACCAGCAGAGCAATGCAGTCCTCTCTTTAGCATTTTGTTGGACTGGGACAGCCCTTTTGTGTGCCAGACTACAGACAGATGGTCCACCCCCAGCCTCATGCTCAAAAGTGACCTATCTAATTACTAACACCACAGATATCATCACAGAATTGAAGTATGCCAGACAGGCAGCCATCTAGAATTTCACATATCTTTAGTCAGTATTGGATCAAATACAAGCGGACTGCATTCCTCTGGAGCTACAGTACAGGCGATTGAGGCTACTTTTTGCAAGTTACAAAGAGAGAAAGAAGAAAAATCTAGTGTGAGACCAGTGTACCTTAGTCTTCTGTCGTGATGTCAGCGCTGGAATACATAAATGGAGAGAGGTCGTCTGAATGACGGCACCTAACCGCATGGAAGCTCTATTATCACTAAATCTGGCCCTGCTAAAAATAACCTTGAAGAGCATGAAATGTTACATTTATGTAGGGAACTTGAAATCTGTTTTCTGGGCCATTAAGCAGAGCTCTGTGTTTCCCATCAACAGCTACATTAGAGCGAGAAGGCGCCTTCCTAAAATAAGGGAGGAGAGAGAAACAGTAAGCCTTTAGAAGAGCCTGTGGGGTTATGTAACCACTGCACCCAAATGTAGCCCATTCTTTAAATTCCAAATCTCTGTGCATTACTGATGAAGTCTCACTATGATCTACAATCACTTTTGCAATCATCTATAGAGCTGGAAGGAATGTTTTTATGTAGGTAAACTGTCAGCACAATTATGTGGCCCTTATTAGCAAGCGGTCGGAGATGTGGATGGGTGCTCTGATACTGTGATGTAATCGTTGTTGATCATTTTCTTGCTTTGTTTGTTTCTCTTTGTATTGTGACCTGAAATCTGACAAGTACGATGCACTTTATAAAAGGAACATGCTACACGTCGCAATGTAAGTGTGGAATGTAATCCTTCTTAAAAAAAATGTATTTTTTATTACTGTAAATATCACAAACCTGAGACAAAAAGAGAGAGTGAGAAAAAAACAACAACACGACGAGAATACTTTGTCAAATAAATTCAACAAACTCTATCACGGTCTATGGTTGTTTGGTGCCTTTATCTCGTGTGTGTGTGTGTGTGTGTGTGTGTGTGTGTGTGTGTGTGTGTGAGAGAGAGGGGTAAGGACAGACTTAAACCGGTACAGGTCATCGTATGAAGGCGGCTCAGCTTTAAAAGGCTTGCGTATGAATTATTGAGCCGTTCTGTTTTACGTAACGTGCGCTGTCTGATAATAGTTTCAGCAGTATTTAGTTACTAAAGTAATCTTCACTGCTATAAAACCATAATCGATTAACAGGGGAGCTCCTCAAAAACACTAAGATTTTAGAATCTTTCTATTTTTTTTTTCGATTGAAGTGATGGCTATATACTCAATTACAATGCTAAATATTTGTTACTCTTACTACGAACAACAAAAATATTATTTTATTCTATTTTCATCGAGGGACCTTCATTGATATTTTCAATAAGGAATTAACGTGTACCTTCACTGATCCTTGAAACACTCTTTCCGACCCTATATAAATGTTTACATTTGTACTCTAAATGAAGCAATAAATTATGATCAATACAAATTAGTTTATCCTTACTGTTAATAGACCATTTCTAACGATAACATCCACATTATTATATATATAAGCTAAACTGTTAAAAAGAAAAGTGATGACCCATTGAGACTGAAAAGGTTAGACATGATAAACACAAAACAAACCCGTCCTGCGGTAAAACCCCGATGCTTCCCTCAGCAAGCATGTTAACTCTTGCCAATGTTCTCACACACAGGGCTGGGTAGATTACTTGAAAATTGTAATCCGTTACTGATTCCAAATTACATGACACAAATTGCAGTTAGTAACGTAATCAATTACATTACATTTTAGGTAATATAATCAGATTACTTTTTGATTACTTTTGACTCATTTATCACATTGATTTAAATAGGATAATATTGTACCATATTAATGTAAAAATGCAAAGAAAAAAAAAAAATTCCATTCATTGTTATTAACAACAAAGTGCATTAAACATTACGTCAAGGTTTACCAAACGGGGTTTGTGAGTTTGATGAAAAGCTAATAATGAAGTAAATCATAAAAAAATGTAAAATGAAAATAAATCATTTTAAAATAACATGAATCAAAATAAAACACTTACTAAAAAAATTCAATATTTAATTTGTTTACCCGCATGTCATGTTCAGCGTAAATCAAAGTCAGAGAACCGTGAGCATGCAAATGTGTTACTTATTAGCCTACCTTAAAATCTCAGGGGTAGTTCAAGTAAATACACTGAGCAAAAGAGGTTTTGCTGACAAAAAAAAGAATCCCTGCATTAAATGTAAATAAGAAATAACATGATTTTGCGCATTTTAATGTGAGTGAGTGAGTGAGTGAGTGAGTGAGTGAAGTGACGTGTGGCCAAGTATGGTGACCCATACTCGGAATTAGTGCTCTTCATTTAACCCATCCAAGTGCACACACACAGCAGTGAACACACACACACCGTGAACACACACCCGGAGCAGTGGGCAGCCATATTGTTGCGGCGCCCGGGGAGCAGCTGAGGTTTCGGTGCCTTGCTCAAGGGTCTCACCTCAGTCGTGGTATTGAGGTGGAAGAGAGTGGTGGTTTTTCACTCCCCCCACCTACAATTCCTGCCGGACATGAGACTCGAACCCGGACACTTTCGGGGTACAAGTCCGACTCTCTAACCGGCCACAACCCCGTGTTTGAAATGTGTATGTTAATGTGTTTAAAAGACAAAAGACTTCCCAAGACAGTAGCCAAATACATGTTTAAATAACATACTGAGTGATAATTCAAATAAACAACATTAATGTGTTCATCAGTAGTTGACGCAGTTTTGAAATGTTGAGGAAACACTTCTTAAAACTGAAATGATTTTTGTAAATCCAGTGATCAAATGCTGTGTGGCCTCTCAATTTTCTGTGTAATTATACCACTTGACTATAGGGACTGGTGTTTGTGTGAATGTCCTCAAAACTGGAGGACTTTCTGAATGTAGGCTATATTAGAGCTAGGCTATTTTAGAAAGGAACATTTAAAAGATGAAAAAGAGGAATCAGGGAGAATCAACAAATAATGAATAATTTATAGCTGTTGTGTGAATATGTAATCAATAAAAAAGTAACTGTAGTCTGATTACGAGCATTTTAAAATGCAATTACAAGTACTTAATTACGTAATCCAGATTACATGCAATCAGTTAGCCTACTACCCAGCTCTGCTCACACAGATACACGCACACAAGGGAGAGAAATAAAAGTTTGGTGGACAGTGGTTAATGGAGTTCACCTGGTTATTAGACAGAAGGAAAACACTGAAATTGACTACGTTTACATGGATATCAGTAAACTAATTATTTACCTTATTCTAAATAAGCCAATATTATGATTATGGTGTTTGCACGAGTTTCTTTTAGAATATTCCTTTCATGTTCCCGTTTTACATGTTATAGTACTGGGGTGCCCAAACTTGGTCCTCGAGGGCCGGCGTCCTGCAGAGTTTAGTCCCAACCCCAATTAAACACACCTGAACCAGCTAATCAAGCTCTTATAGGCATACTAGAAATTACAGTTTTGGATGTTTCATTTTTAATTTTATGAAAGCTTCAAGTGCAGTTAATTATTTGTACGTGCATACAGACGACGGCGGTGTTGAAGCTTTTATTTGCCGTCAAAAGCTTGACAACTGCCGTGTGTGTACCCTGTCGCAAAATGCTGCGAAAAGTCCTACACGACGGTAATAAGGTGTTTACATGTCTATACTGCACTTCCATAATGAGACTAAAATAGGAATACGCCACGTCTTAATTCGATTTGTTTACTTCGAATATGACTTTAGCCGGATTAAGGTAATCAAAAATCTTAATCGTATTAAAATCGAATTATTGTTGTCCGTGTAAACGTACTCATCGATGTACCGAAACGAATGAAATCACCCGCTCTTCAATGGTAGACTAGTAAGTGAGAAATTGCGCATCCTGCTGGTAACTTGGATGAACCACAACTAATGAATGCGCGAGGAGGCAGGACAGTAAGTTTCACCCACATAACCTGCCTACTCACTCACTCATTCTCTCACAAACACGCAAACGGTGAAAAGCATGGATGAGTTACCGGGCGCGTGCGCCCACGCATGCGGACAGAAACGGAGAAGTGACAGTATCACCACCTCCTCAACAGCACCGAGTCACACTACAGCACTACTGAGCCAGTCACCACGAGAACCGCTCCAGGACACAAACATATAGACCAGATCACACAACATAACCTCTTCTTATACATTGGTATTACACTTTCAAAGAACTGTAAATAAGACAATAAAGACACCAAACAAAACAAATTAATAACACTCTTGACTGCGAGCTAGTGCATCTGGCGTATGACTTCAAGCTCATCTGTTACTGTTTTGCCCCGTAATCATCCCTGAATCATGAGTCTCCCATCGCTCCTTCTTAATGGTCTCTTTCTCCATTAGGCGTGCACACAAACAAACTTAAACAGGAAAGAACACCTACTAAACTCACTTGTGACCATTTCCTGCATCCCTGTGGAGATTTAAAACATTTTCCAGCAAACAAGCTCACTTTAAAAATCAATTTTGGCAGCTCTACAAATAGCTGAAGGAGACAATGAGGGCAGTGAAACAGGAGGGAAATGTGTCACAGATTCACACAGCTGATCATTCCTGCTGTGTCACCACTGTGACGGAAACACAGCTGACCTTTCTCAAAGTTAAGATCAGGCGAACAAGACCCCGGTCGCCCTCAGTTCTCTGCCAGTTTTTGAGGGATGAGATAACATAATAGGAAAACTGAAATGAGGGGAAAGAGAGGGTGAAGATACAGTAAATGCAGAGGATCATGTAGCAACAAAGAAGCACTTCTCAAGTACTGCCTGCCTCTGAAGTAAAGTGATCTAGCATGTGTAAAATGATAGGGCGAAATTGAAGGATACAATCCATAATTCAATAGAGACCAAGTTTAAGGAAAGGATGGACAGGCAGTGAGATTAAAGCGAAGGTAATGGTTATGTAATACAAGAAAAGGTACTTGATGCTTACTGTATTAAAACATGTTTTCCATACACTTTAGCCAATGAATTTCCTTGACTTTGCTAGTCGATTGTGGTTACAAACTCAGAGTTTGAAATTATTCTTATTAGGGCACAGATGTAACTAAATAAGAAATAAATTAAGTAAGCACTCTGAGTTTTGATTGTGGCTTTATGGTGCAAACAGATTAAGCATTTTAGATCAGTGGATAACTACAAAACATTTTTTTCACACTATTAGAAATCAGAAATTTCCATGACTTTTGAGATTTAATTAATTGCCATTACTTTTTTTTAATTTTTTTTTATTTCTGGAAATCACAATTTTAAAAAACATCCAGGCTTTCTATGATCGCAGGAGGGTTTCTTTGATCATAGAAAGCAACCAACAAATCATTAAATCACAAAAATCCAAGGTACCTTTGCCCATTATTGATCTGAGCTTAGTATATGCAATTAAATGATTTCAAAAATAGATTGAAATGGAAATATTAAATGTTGCCACAAACCACACTGAGGAATATTTTAAGAAGCACTTTAATGGCACTCCGTACATGCATGCAGCATTTGCCTACAGTATATTGTTTTTGTTTTTTTGATGCACTGATTTTCATACTGTTTCTTATCTATATAATTCAAAGTTCTGCCATTTTAACAAACTTCTATACATCACACTGTTTAAAACATAAAGGACTTAATTCTTTACATACAAAACACAGGCTAAACACAGCTCATGATAGCTGTTAAGTTGGGAGAGGTTAAACTCGAAGCCTCCCTATTTGTGCAGTGAGTGACACATTTAACTAAATAAATAGAAAATAAAAGCTAAAATACGTAAGTGCTCTTATTCTGTACAAATTAGCATATATAGTATTTCAAATGCCTCAGAGAGCAAGATGGTTCAAAATTAAAAACACTAGCAAAAAAAAACAAAAAAACAGACCCCAAACCAGCTGTTCATCAATTACAGTGCACAATGTTAATTTCTATTAGTGTTTATGGGTACACATTACCAGGTCAAACAGGTAAGAGCACAGCTGTCTTCATTGTTGCCTGCTTAATTATGCTGTGCTTGTTGCCTTGGTAAGAATGCAGTGACATCTACTGTGGTTATAGTGCGATGACTGACAAGTGAATGGTTTGATCCTTTAGGGAACAGACGGCCACGCACTGTATCCATTTAAAAAGACACAGATAACTAGGAGTTTTTTTTTCTTCCATCCCTGAAAAGACCAGGAGGAAAACAAAACAAAGAAAGAGATTCTGACTACTAACACAGCACCACTTGAACCTCAAAACAGAGTATTAAAGTATTGTGTTTAATGAGCCTATAGATGAATAAGAGCCCAGTTCTGTTGTCTTTTGCAGTTGCACTACAAGTAATTCCCTACAGGTAGCAGCAATCACAATTTGTTATTGTGTATTGGTGGATTCAGAATGCACCAATATAGTATCTTTTTACTTGAAGCCAAGAAAGCAAATGAAGCCCTAAAAATCATTCCAACCCATCAAAATGGGTTCAATTATTTAAATTAATCACATTTGGGGAAATAGTGTCACCAATAAAGTATATAAAACATCACCACTAAGCCTCCCACCATCCTTTAGAGTCAGAAAATGTGTTATATTCCCAGCAGAATTGTAATTTTTCTTACACGCCCTTGATACAGTTTTCAGATTCAGATTGTCCATCCATGCTATTCAATAAGCTGCGATACTTGGAATGCAAACACGAGTAACTTTTTATAAATTTGAATCAACAAACGAAAATCTAACTAAACATCTACTGTGTGTTTTTGTGCTCTATCGGAGCAAATCGCTCAATAATATTGGTTTTTTTGACTTGCAATTGTAATTTCAACTGGTTTGTTATCTGCTTGATACTCGGTCAAACATGCATTCAAGATATCAAAATGCAGCTGTTTCTTTGGGCTTAGACATGAAAATGTTTAGGTAAATGCTTAATATATTAGCCCCAAATACATTTACGACTATTTTGTCTGACCTTTAAGTTGTAGTCCTGGGCGAGTAGGACTAAAATGAACATTGCATGATCCAGCTGGCTGTTCTAATATGGTCATGTTCTAAAGTTAGTGAGAGTGAGAGAAAGAGTGCAGTAGAGAGGACAGATGGTAGGACCCCCACATTCAGAGTAATTGATGAATAGTGTCAAGGCAGTGGACTCAAGCCCACTTTGTAGATGAGCAGGGGCCAGTTGCATAAACATAGTCACCATGTTAAGACTGTGTCTTAAGAACTAGTTAACCAAGTGGTTATCAGTCTTACTTTTCAGATTCAAATTAGATCAATCTATGCGTTTATGTAACTGACTTCTAAAAATGATGACCAGTCTTGCAGAAAAAAAATCAGGTGTCTAACTTTTAAGACTAGTCTAAGCAGTTTATGCAACCGGCCAATGATCTCTAACGCACATTGTTCGTTAGACATTGTTGGGGTCAAAACTCTGATTAAACTTCACTGTCAAGGCTTCAGTTTAAGATGTACAATCGAAAATTCAAAAGTTTCTGGTTCGGTCTCTTTGAGACTTTGTAGTTACGCAGCCCTTATTTTTTAAACACAGGAGCCGTGTTATTTTAGTGCAGACAGACATCGGCATGCTACATTAGTTGTGATTATTCTGTTCTCTGAAACCTACACTCTAATTCTTATTTCATGGTTTTTTTTTTTATTCCTCTATTGTTGTTTTCAATGTCTCAGTCTGACCACTCATTTTCATCCAGCTCAGAGTCTTCATCAGATTCGCTGTACTCCACGGCGATGCGACGGGATAATATAGTGGCCACATCGTTCCCAACTGGCTCCTTCTTCGCTTCCTGCTCCCGCTGTTCCTGCACCTTACGCAGCTGGATCCCTGTGAGAAAAAAACAAAACATAACAACAAAAGTGAGAACCAGAGACAAAAAAAACAAACTCAAGAACTGATAAGAAACACGGCTCAAGCCATATTTCACCCCAAAATACAAATAATAAAAAAATACTGTTCAAAAGTTTGGTGTCAGTAAGATTTTTAAACATTTTTTTTTTAAAGGAAGTCATTTATGCTCACCAAAGCTGCATTTATTGGATCAAAACAGTAATATAATGAACTATTACTGTGATTTAAAACAACTGTCTTCTATTTGAAGTAATTTTAAAATGTAATTTATTCTGTTCATCAAAACTGAATTTTTAGCTGCCATTACCTTCACAAATCATTCCAATATGCTGATTTGGTACTCAAAACATTTCTTATTATTATCAATGTTGAAAACAGATGTGCTGCTTAATGTTTTTGTGGAAACTGACTTTTTCAGGATTCTTTGATATAATAGAAAGATCAAAAGAGCAACATTTATTTGAAATAGAAATCTTTTGTAACATTATAAATGTCTTAACTGTCACTTTTTTTTAATCAATTTAATGCACCCTTTCTGAAAAAAGTATAAATTTCTTCTTCTTACAAATAAATAAATAACTAACATTAAAAAAAAAAAAAAAAACTATGGACCCCAAACAATTTTTCAAGAATTAATATAATATAACATAATACAATAATAGTCTTTTATATGATAAGAATTCATATAATATAAGAGAACATTAAGAGTATTTACATTATTTTCATAACGCCACCACTTCTTACCATAATGCAAAAATAAATAAATAAAGTAAAGTACATTGTAGTCACCATGTGACATCATAACACCCAAACCCCACTTAATAAGTGATCTCTTGACCTCGTCTGATGGCCGCCAGCAGGTCGCTGCGTGCGTCGCTCATTGGGATGAGAGGTATCTGGCCCTTCCTGGGGACAACTGGTGCTTCCGCAGGGACAGTGGGCATGGTGTGTGAGTGAGGGTGCGGGTGGGGGTGTGTGGGCAGCCCAGGTGGAGGTGGAGGGGGGGCTGCGGGAGGATGATGGGTTGGGGAAGGGGTGTAGGAAGCAGGGAGGGCAGGGGTTGGAGGAGAAACGTTGTAGGTCTGGGAAAGAGATGGCATAGCACTGGCCGGGGCAGAGGAGGGGCCAGTGGGACTGTCAAAGGCAGTCTGGGCGGAAGGAATGATAGGAGGAGGTGGAGGAGGAGCAGGAGGTACGAAATACTCTCGATGTTGAGACTGCTGACCACTGAGATACAAACAGAGAAAAGAAATTAATCAAACACATTTACTGCACTCAGGAGATGAGCTCTAAGCCTAGAGCTCACTACAAGATGGAAACTCTTTGGCCTCTTATGTTTTAAATTTGAGCATGTGTCATGCCAAAAAAACAACAACAACAACATAAACCTTCCTCCATTTTATTTTGATGTCAAAAATCTACTCTTGCATACATATTGTTATTAAAAGTAAAACTATTAAAAACTGTTATTGTGAATTGAAATAAAGCTGAATTAATAAGATAAATCTGATGAAACCTAAAAAAAAAAAAAAAAAAAAAACTAAAATATTTTTTTTTATTTCAGGTCCTAAAATTACTAAAACAAATCAAAATATCAAAATAAATTAAAGATAGCTAATAAAAAGGACAAAAGCATGTAACAAAATTACTACAATTTATTCCAAAATTAAAATGAAGATAAATCTAGAAAGCTAATTCAAAATATTAATAAATACTATAATAGTATATAAATAAAACTAACATTATGTGTGAGTGAGTTTGTGTGTTAACAGATAGCTAGTGGTAAAAGATAATTTTACACATGATCATATATGTGTTTGTTTGTAGGTTATTTAGACCAGGGTAGTACAACCCCTAGGGGTTCATGATGGAACTGCAGGTGGTTCATGAGAGAGTAAGAGAAACACAAAAGCAAACTGAATAAAATACAATATGAAGTAAAATGAAGTAAAAAAAAAAAAAAAACTCATCTTACATTTCATTAAATTTATTATTCATTATATTTACTGAATGGTTAGAACGTTTATTTGAAATTTGTGGGTATTTCATGTAAATAATGTAAATTATTAGAAAACCCTGCTTTACACCCTTTATATTACAGATATTTACTCAATTAAGAAAAGCTAAAGAATAACAGACCTGTAGTCTTTAGCCTGCAGGGGACGTGGCCCGTTGAGAGCAGGGTCTGTGACTGGTTGTCCATGGGACGTCTGAACCCTGCCAATGGTCTGTCTCGCAGGTGGAGCGGAGGAGGAAGTGGCCGGCCGATATACACGGTCCAGGGACTGGGTCTGGACATGAGAGGGTGCCATGAGGTGATCTTTGCCATTGGCAGCGGAGTAGGCGCTGGCCACGGCCATCTGCTGAGCTGGGTGATTGGGGCTGCCTGGGTAAGAGTGCTCACCCATGTCTGAGGTAACCGACCTGATGATGGAAAAGAGACAGAGAGTGATAGACAAATGAGAGAGAAGGGGAAAAGGAAATTAAGAGAGAAATATTAAATGCAAATATCTTTATGGGTTCTTGAGCTTTAAAATTAATATTTTGGATTCCACAGATCAGCTTTATTGAAAGTGCCTGTGCTGCATGCTGTTTATTAAACATAATAATGTTGACTGTTGATTGTGCCCCTCAGTGGATTTCCAAAGTCTTCAAGGCAAACCACTGCACCAGAATAAATGTTAAAAGACGGTGTTTTGAAAGCATAGGCATATACTCTTAAGCTCCAAGACTGCATTTATTGTATTTTAAAAAAGAGAGCAATATTTGGAAATATAAATACAATTCTAAAATATTTTCAAATGTAGTGATGGGAAAAGCAGAATTTTCAGCAGCCATTACTCCAGTTTTCAGTGTCACGTGATCCTTCAAAAATCATTCTAATAAGTTAACAATTTGTTTATTCTAATATGTAACCAATGTAAACATTCTTCCCTTCAATAAAACAATGAACAGCACCATTCACCTACAGTACATATTGCATATTTTCAACATATATCTAAAACATTTTTAATATATGAAATGTTCACACAGGGTTAGGGTTACAACAAATTAATGAATCAGAGTCGATTTATTAAAAGAGACAGTTTGAACTGATTCACCGAATGAATCAAACTTACCGACCAATTTTTAAACTTAGATGTTTAAATGTTTTTGTACATTACTCTGCTGTTTTATTTGCTTAATTGTGCGACAAAGAACGACCATGTCTAATGACAGAACTTTTAGGAAAATTAATAACCACATAAAAAGCACATTAAAATCATCACAATATGCACAATGTAAAATAATTTCCCCAATGAAATAATTGTTTAATCTGATTATCAAAAGTTAAAAAATAATAATAAAAACGAATAAATAAATAGAACAGTATAAAGTTGTGATGCTTTAGATTGCTCTGGTATGACTATAAATCACAAACAGACAGCTCCAAGTGTTGGCAACTCAAAGTGTCAACAGATGGCAGTAGAGAGCTATGCTAAACCGCAGCCCACTTGTATTGCCACGGAAAAAAAGTCAAAGCAAAGAGACGCCCAACCTGTTGTCTGGTGAAAGTGAGCTCTCAGAGGACATGCCATGGTACGGAGAAGGCGTGAAGCGGGTGTCTGGGCGGAACTCCTTATCATACGCCATTACGTTCCACTCCTGCCTACGATTCCGAGCCTTACGAACCTTTTTCACCTCACGACTGGGGTCCTCCACTTGTTTCTGCTGCTCCTGAGTGAGTGAGAGAGAATGAGAGTGAGGGAGAAAGAAAGCCGAGTGTTTCAGAAAGCCCAGGGGTTCATCACATTTGGTGAAAGAGTTTTAGACTGTAAGCTAAAAGAGCAAAGTCGCACACACACAGATTGTAGTGTCCACATTTTTCACTGAAAAGTGCTGTGAAGAAAGTTTTCTACATAATTCAGGGAATGCATTAAACACACACACACACACACACACAGTAGAAAAGCTAGTGAAGAGACTATAGGGAAAGAAAGTGAATGCACAAACTGGAGTCAGCAAAGTGAGGGGCTGACAGAAATGCAGGTCTCTTACGGAGGATAGGAGGGGGCTTCTGAGAAGGGCCTGCCTGGAGTGGGACTTGTCAGAGTGAGTCTGGCCTGAGCCGCTGGTCTAGAGAGAAGGGGCAAAGTCTGGGGGAGTTAGAGCTCTCATTCATGCACACACAAAGACACTTCCACTGATGTGTTTCCTTCTGCTTTCTTCTTTGCATATAAACACATAAGCTGCTGGTTTGTCAAGAGGAAATGAATCTGAGAAATGGTTTTTACAGGGGGCCCAAATGTGCTTAGCATTTTTCCAGCACTTGTTAAAGTTTAAAGTTCAAGTCAGTCTTAACCATGTATTGTACCACGTACAACAACACTTATTTTGGTATCAATTTGATACCGACGTTCCAGCATTTTTGACATCCTTAAAGCAGTATGTGATTGTAGAAAGGACCATAAAGTGCACACAAAAACATATTTATGCAATAGACACACACCTTCTGTCTCCTCTTTTCTTTTCTCTTGTCCTCTGTGGCTTGCAGCATTTTCTCCCTCCAGAGGTTAAAGAAGTAGGAGGGGTCTGTGTAGAACTTCAGTGCGTCCTTCTTATCATCTCTATAAAACGAAAGAAAGACATATGATGGTTGCTACAATAGCATTTTCTCTGTGTAGAGATGTATTGAAGCATTTGGGTAGAAACTGAAAAAAAAACAACTTGTTAAAATGAACTGGGCTTTCAGACATACTTGAGAGAGAGAATATTCTAGGAGAGTGCACTTGATATGCAGCAAGTGATTTATCATTTTGTCATACTACACCAGATGCACAAACCAGGGAACATGGAAATAGGAAATAAAACATGCAATTGCAGCATTTTTTCATTTCTAATTTATCTTGTTTTAACATTTTTTTTTTTTAATTTAACATTTGAATATAATATAGTTTAGCAACATTTACTTTCAGTCCACAGCCAAGTTTGATTTTTGGCCCTTCATAGTAAAAAGTTTGGGAACCTCTGCACTACATCATTATTTGCCTTAAAATTTGTTTGTTGCTGGAAAAGTTACACTATTTTAAAACCTGCTGAGCTGAAATTATGCTACAGAAGAAAAGTAAAAGATGCAATGTTGCTAATGTTATTTGACATGAGTTAATAAAGCACAGATTGGAGTGCGGATAATGATGATCTCACCTGTAAGGGCTGAGAATATTGAGAGGGGGAGGTTTGTCTCCACGGTGGTAGAGCTCCAGGACAGGATTTGGGATTGAGTTTCTGGAAACCACCTGTTGGTCCTGAATGGTGGAGCTCTTGAAGGCCTTCCTCATGTTGATATCTTGCAGAGAGACTGAAGATGGGGGATAGAGGAAGAGTTCAGATTTATGCTTTAATTTCATTATTGAGATTGCAAAAATACCATTCTTAATTTGTATATTTGTCATTTTTTTAGTTCAAAGATCTAAACATTCGTAGTACAAGATATTTAGCAGAGAAGAAAAAGGGCATAGGATATTAAAACTTTAGAGAATGGAGGATCAATGAAACAAGATGAAATAGACTTATATGAAGGTAACGGCCATTACCCAATAATACCCTGATAAATAAATCTGAGATCAGTTTAATATTTACTATATGGTAATTAAAGGTCTGCTTTGACTAAGACACACTGTCAACTGATTAGCATAAAGTGTAAAGGGCCTTAAAGTAAAGCTGTGTGAAATCCCTGCTTAAGTCTCTTATGTGTTTGCTGAAAGAAAGGATGAAGCTGTCCAGGAGACAGCAGATGGTCATTCTCTTATTCACACACTCTGCTTCTCACCCTGGACAATCAGGAATGGCACAGACATATGATAGATCAGCTGCGCATTTACAGTAAGAGCAACATCATTGCTTTGCCTGCCCTAGAGCATGTGGAGCTCCAGCCTCACAATTCCATGTTTGTTTTTTTTCCCAGTAGACTGAGCTGTTCGGCAGTGAATTGAGATGTTGTGAATATTGCCTGCACAAATCAAAACCAAGGCAAGGATCTATACACAGAGTATGAGATGCTGAAAAAGCGATTAATCTCAACCCCTTATTAACACACAATTTAAAACTTGGGACATCATGGTCAGTCAAAAGTTATGTGATAACCAATGACAACTGTTTAAAATGGGCATCCCACAATTGGTGTGTGACAGGTTTACACACACACACACACACACACACACACACACACACACTCTTACAAATATATAATAATTCATAATAAAATCTAATATACAATTAAATGTAAATATCCACAAATTTCATCAAAAGAAAAAAACTATGACTAAAAAAGTTGTATAAAAATGAACAGTCAGTTTCTCACAGAAAGCAGTGCACAAGTGGAAAAGAGCGGTTCAGATATTCCGTAACATCAGTCAAGCAAGTGATGTCATACAATGATCTATGACACTGTGTGGAAATTAATGTCTTAACTGTGGACCAATGCTAAATTATTTATTAAGTTCTTCTACATAAGTTTAGGGGGTTGTCTGTTACTGTGGGGGCGGGGCTTGTTTTGATGTAAAGAATGATGGACTGCCTCAATCGCCCTCTAATTATGTATACCACAGGAGAACACTCACAATATTAAAGCACTGGCTGCACCTCAGGGGCTACTGTACTGCTTTATTGAACATTAATAATTCAAGATTCAGCATACTAGCTGATCTGATGGCAGGAATGGGGTATATAAGGTCAAACCTGGGACAACTTCTAAAACAAGATGGTTCTGCTTTTCAACATATGTACTATGAGCTTTGGAGTTGAACCACAATGCAATGCTACAGTAATGGAAGAGAAAAGGGTAACACTTTAGAATAGGGAACACTTATTCACTATTAACTACGA